CCCCCCCCGACGTTGCAGCAGCTGTTCTCCTAGTTTTTGATGTTGAAGTGCTGGTACTCGATGTTGAAGTAGATGTTGTGGTACTAGTCGATGTTGAAGTAGACGTTGTAGTAGTAGTCGATGTTGAAGTGCTGGTACTCGATGTTGAAGTAGATGTTGTGGTACTAGTCGATGTTGAAGTAGCTGTTGTAGTAGTAGGCGTAGTGGTACTCGATATTGAACTTGAAGTAGTAGTTGATGTTTCAGTTATGATAAATGTTTCGATAGAAGTACTGGTACTCGATGATGCAGTAGACGTTGTGCTAGTACTCTCTAAAAAAACGATGCTGGATAGAATATTTTACGGTTCAAGAACTGGTATCGTTTGCAGAACCTTTTAAGGTTCAAGTCATAAAAGGGTACTGTCTCACACCTTTTTTTTCTTTTCGGATAAAAGGTTTTAGTTACAAATGTTCAGTACCATTCGAGTGGTTCGATGTCGAACCTTCGCAAACGAAGGGTTCCGTGTAAGAGCTCTCTCAACAAGAAGGTTCTCTATGAATCCTTTTTCTCTTGTGTCTTTTTTATCAAGAAAGAAAATACAATGTTTTTTTCTTCCTTCTAAGACGCTGTTTAATATACAACCTAGTACTGTTGAAGCAAAGAAAGAAAAGAAAAATATATATACAAAACTGATTAATTTAACTAATAAAAAAATCAAAGTTTGTAATCCTTTACTGTTTTGGAAAGAACTGTCAAAAACATTTCCTCTATTAGCCAAAGTAACCGAACAAATTTTGGCAATTTCGGCTACATCAGCTAGCGTAGAACGCTCATTTAGTGGTGCAGGTTTAACTATCATAGAATTGGGAAGGAATATCAATCCGGACACATTAAACGACTGTGTATTTCTTAGGTCTGTAAAGAAACAAATGAAGAATTGATTGATATTTGTTTTTTATAACTACATTTTGTTTTACTTTGCCAGTGTCAAAGAAAAAGAAAAAAGAGAAACATAAATCAAACGACGAAAAATTTTTTAAAGTTTGAAACAGCTAACTGTTTCACTTAATTTTTAGGTTTTAGTAGCCTACTAAACCTGAAAGCGGTAGCGTGTTATTGCATTTACTAAACCTCTAAAAAAAGGCTTTAGGAAACGCTTTTTGCCTTCTTCTTAAATCTTTTTCTACTTTTGACTAAAGCTTTCTGCTTTACAAAACACTTTTCTAGCGATTCTTAGCTTTCTTCTCTTTTACTCACTAATTTCGATCTTCTGGAAGCGAAATCCATAGAAGTAAAAGTAAGTGAAGATTCTCATTACGACAAAACAAAATGTTTTTCTTTGCTTTTAAAAAGCTCTTCTTCCTATAGAAGGTTATTTTCGCAGACACCAAAACCAACTAAAATCCGTTTTAAAGAAATGTTTTCCCCAGGTAAGTCACTCCCTCTAGAATTTCTTTCACTTGTGCTGCACCTACAAATGAAGAAATCATAATCGGCACCATCTGTGCTGCTTATGTTTTTCGCAATGTAACAAGAAAAGATACAATAAGAGACAATCAATAAACATATCTCAACAGATTGGGCACGTCTACAAGGGATATCGCACATCTGACAAACATCTGACTCTTTACTCAATTTGTCTGTTTTGAGGAAGTCAACTGTAGAGCGTAATTCAAACCAGCCGGCTGTTAGCAAGCCGCAACCTTTGAGAATACTGAAGCCAGGAAGCAGCACAATTTTAGGGGAAATGTCAAAATCTTATTAGTGTGTTAAAGATGTAGGTGTGAACGCTCTCGAAGTTAACTTCGAGTTAACTCAGAGTTAACTCTGGAAAATATGTAGTGTGAACGTGGCCTAACGCTTGATGCTGTAATTGCCGAAAACGTCTCACTCGTTGCAAGTGTAGTGAAGACTGGTGTTTTTACTTGTGTTTCAGTTGTTTTACCTTAACTAACTGAAGTGAGAATGATGTGATGATGCACCAAATAGTCTTACCTGTCGTCTGTTGTACTTGTGTCAAAGCAAAAGTTGTAAAATGATTACAGGTACATTGATATACGGTCTTTTGAGAGTTTAAATCTGTTCGAAGAGTTGGTGCTCCACCACACCCGACGTTGCTCCATCCTGTTGTATTCCAGAACGAACACTGATAAGTTCCATTACCACTGCCTGAGTTATATTTAATGGTAAAATAAAGCTGTACGTCAGTAGTATTGATTTTGGGTTCCGTATTGACGATGATAACAGATGATGCGAGTTTTGTTAAATTTGTATCATACTGAAGATAGTTGTCGGGTTTCTCGATCAACAATAATTTTAAAAAGTTCACGTTGAGCAATTGTGAAGCATCAGTTATGACGGCTGCAGCTGTTGTTCCATTGAGTTGATCATTGACATTTGACAAGTTTGTTAAATAATTACCAACACCAGATAGGTAAAATGAACCACCCGTAAAAAAAATGTCGCTTGATACAAATCGAGGAGTTTGAGAAATCAAATAAATGCTTCTAGACGAATTTCTTACAACAGTGTCGTTAAAAGAATCAAGAACGGTATCCAATGTATTCGCATCTAACTGATTCACGGTTGTGTTATCAATTACATATGCCGCAAAATAGTCTTGAAGCGCATCCGCTACTGCGCTTGTATTGAAAAACGATGAATTTCTATTCATTATCATAGATATAGAAATATTCTAGAGAATGAAAAGTGGTAATTAACATCCCCTGGTACGAAAACAACTTACCAGTACAGCTCTTGGCACCAGACATTGATGACGGAGTGTAGAGTACACGAAACCAGTTGAACAACTCGCTGAAAATGACAACCGAATATCCAAGCAGACTTATAGCAGAGGAGGTCCGCTAATCGGCTTGATCGGCTAACTCTGCTACCAGAATGTAATTCCATCACGATTATATTGCATTTTGATTCAGTTATATATCGAACGACTAGACGCCCAGAGCTTCTAAAGGTCTCTAAATAAAAGGAGAAGTATGCTAATCATTTCCAAGTGTCTCAGTACCCTGCACGATCTTTCGTTCACCAGTCTGACAAAAATACGAACACCGACTTTTCATAACTTAGCCAACAATGTAGGTGTTCGCATTTTTGTCAGACTGGTGAACGAAAGATCCTGCAAGGTGCTGAGACACTTGGAAATGACTAGCATACTTCTCCCTTTAATTTGAGACGTTTAAAAGTTCTGAGGATCTTGTCGTTCGATAATCATGAAGGAATCACACTCCGATTTCAGAGTTAGTTGACCAAGCCGTTATCTGTCTTTTGTATCGTACGTTCGAGGTGGGTTCTCTACTTTGGAAGAGCCTCGTATTATGGTTGTCGCTTTAGAATGACTGAATTGGAATTAGGATGTGTTTTCTGCTTTCCCGATGACTGAACATCATCCGATAGAAAGCAATTACAGAACGACTCTCACCTCGACAAACAAATTTTCGCATTTTTACAATAAACTACCTCTGTAGAAACTTTTTTCTCGATTTTACACCGATCACTCAACAGAATTGTATAACGTATAGCCCTTTCATCCTCTGGCTTAGCTGCGGAAGAGTTTTATGAAACACAATACGTAGAGCTAGTTTATACTTGTTATGTTAAACATAGGTGTTGTTGTGACCGTAGCTGTGGTATATAGGGGACGAGAATCTGAAATGAAGGACACAAAATGTTTAGAATTTTGGCTATAAACTAAGCTAACTGTTATTTTTCTCAGAACAAAAAATATCACCGTCGCAGACGTAACAAAATCGTTCGTTTTTAAATACAAACTTCTTCCACTTGTCTGCTGGCTGAATATGAGATCAGTCATACATACCATTCATCCGAAAAGTCGGTTGTTCTGATATTCGTGACAATGGCCACCATCCATGACCCATTGTTGATGCAACGATTAAATTCCTCGATGAATCATAAGAAAATGATATAACGAAAACTTTTGATAGTGCTAAACCTAATTTACGCCATTCAGTACTTGAATCCGTTTGTCTACCAAACACAATATAAACCCCTAAGGCCGTTCGACTTGCAAGAGCATTATATTTTGTCATCGGAATAACAACACTACACCAAGCATAGGGCATTTCACGCGAACTACTGTCAGCCAGTAACGTCCCTGTTACATCTGTCCATGTTGCGCCAAAATCTAACGTTTGTAAAACGTTCGACCTTGCATAAACAACACAGGTCTGATAATTTCTTGGATTAATTGCAATGAGGTTAACAAACTTTCTTTGAGACATATTAACACAATTATGAGCATGGACGCCAGTAGCTATATCAAAGGTACAGATAACTCCGCTGACATAATCAATACTAAATATCATATTTTGATCTGCTACTCCATGACGATAACCACCATAATTATAATCGTTTAGGAAATAACCAATCACACCTACTGTTGCATCTGCCAACACTAAATCAGTACCCGTTAGCATATCATATCTATTACAATAATCTTGTTGACCAAGTTGAAGCAATCGTTGATCCGTACAAAGTAATACATATTGTGGATGAACAGTTTCTGATTCTAATGCTATGAAAAAATCGTAATGTGTTAATTGTTCGGTATTCGAAAAGATTATGGATGATGCTGGAGCTTGTTGAGCCAGCTGTGCTTTGAAAAAGCCTCCGAATCCTTGTCCAGTGCCATACAGCACAGGTAGTGATTGACTACGCTTTTCAATTGCTACGCTTTTGCCACCACGAGTTTGAAATGAACTAAATATTCCTTGAATGGACTTTCCAGCAGCTATCTGACTGGCTGTTGAATTTCTTACCCATACTAGAAACAAAAATAAACTTTAGTTGTGTCATCCGTCTTCAACCACTGCTAAGCGTAGTGAAAAGTATTGTGTGAAGGGTCATAAAACAATGCAGAGATGAACTAACAAGAACGGATAGTCTTTACCTTCATGTGGACTCTGTTTCAGTTGATTTGACTTTAAGTCAGAGGCAGAATAGAGTCGAAGCTTCTCCAGGTGAATTGACTCAACTTGATAAAGGCAGAGTTGACGTTAAACTGAAATGCCGACCTCGATGAAAACTTAAAAAGTTATTTTTCACAGGATGTGTAGCTAGATTGTCAAACAGCGAAGTTTCTCGTTGGCTCCTCAGCCGTCAAAGATGTTCTGTTTCTTCGCTCAACTAAAAACGATAAAACGAAAACTGAACTGTAAATCAGAATTATTTCTTTGTATTGTGTTTTTTTTCTGTCAGTCTAATTCTTTTGTAGACTCGGCATAAAATAAAGATGTGTAGATGAATGGATTAGATTTCAGGGTCATAACTTATGTGTGTTTCTTACGATCAGTTATAATTAGAAAAATTAAATTAATGAGAAAGCAGATAATTTTGTTGTTGATATTCGGTTGAGCCGACGAGAAACTCGCTTCGTTTCCGGCTCGCTTTAGGTGATCATCTTGACCATTTTCAAAACTAGATATAATCTTGGCAGAATGCAGTGGAATAGCAAGAAACCTAAACTCTTACTAGAACTCTAGCTCTTCTCATGTTGACCACATAATTGGCAAAATAACTTTCATCACAACTATATGAGACTTCTCAAATGGAAACACAACCGTTTAGCATTTGAAAGCTTATACAAATCTTCAATTCAATGTCTAATTAACCATGGCAACGAAATATACTCCTAGACTATGCAACAAAATATTCTAAAATTAGAGTTGTCAGTACCAGCTTTGGTTGACGGTTACGGTGCTATGTATGTATGCCCCACTTCCAGTTAACTGGAACTGTTCAGAACTAGGGCTGCTGAGTTTTCAAAAACAATTTGCTATCTAATTAAATTGAAAGACACATCACTGGATGCAGTTTTTCACGCTGACCACGAAAATCAATTTTAAAATTTAGAAAAATTCAAACTTCCACGTAAAAATTTAAATTTTAAGTTTTAAAATTTTGTAATTTAAGTTTCCTCACCTAGATATTTTCTTGAAAAAAAATTCAAAATTATGCTGATCGATAGAGCATTCAATTCTCTACAAAATCGCTTATTTTTTTCCAACTTTCGATGCTCCGAACAGGTTTCAGAGCCAAGAGAGTTTTCTACAAAACCAGTTTTTTTTTAAAGTTTTGGAACGAATTCACAAGAAATTTTAAATTCTATTGATAGTTATGCGATGACGAATGTATTATTAACAGTTAAAAAAGAAACATTTCTTAGCATCAAGTGGCATGAGTACATTGTAAGCTCCATTTGGGCCTGACGCGCAACTTTCGTTTTATGCCTTTTGCGCGTACTGTGTAAGTTTACGAAATATTAGATCTACAAGCTAAAGGAACGATTAGTTTGGAGTAAGAGGGTCTACCTAGCCCCAAAACTATCCTACACGAAAAATCAATCTTTTCCATTTTTCATCTATTGACGGTTTTTTAAAACCTCTGACGATCAGATAAAGTGTGAGATCAAATGTCATATACTGTTTTGTTAACAATTTCATACCCTATCGAATACTATATGGCTTGAGAAATTTCATCAAGTCGTTGCAGAGGAAAACTGGAAAGTGGGCATTTTTTCGATATCCGATATTCAAAAAGGGGGTTTTCTCAGCACCAACGTGATTTCCAACGCTGAAATGTTGGATTTAGAGGTAACATAAGATGGTGAATCAAATGAGCATACTTGCAAAGGAAAGAAAATTTTGACATGTTACGCCATTTCTTGACGAACTAATGCATTCTCTCTTAACTAACGTTAATATAGATTCTACTGACCGTAACTGATAAAGTTTGGATCTGGTAATGAACCAGCTAGTGTACCAGCAGATTGAGATAAATTCATTTCTGTTGTTAGAGTGTAGTGTGGTGCTGATGTAACATGAAAATTTGTTGTTTTCCAAACTCTACCGTTAACCGATTCGAGAAAGAGTGTTGTTGATGTAGCTACGGCACTCTCTGGGTCTGTAACACTAACGGGATCAATATTATGCGATCCCCGACTTTGCCATGACTGTATACACCTCGTTGAATTTTGGGGTATAGCCAAGAATAATAAATTTGTTAGCAACACAGCTACAAAGAGCATTTCCATCAAACCCTATTCTCTTTTTCAGAAATGCTTTCTTGTTCTTCAATGCAAAGAATAATACGAGCGTTTTAATATTAATTTAACCGGACAAATTCTTATAGAAAGTTTAACGATATTATATTTATAAATTTCGACTTCAAATTTTTATAAACAATAACTTACCTTTGTCTCGTCTTAGCAATTCTTTTACTTCATGAAACAAAAATAACATGATTTAATAAATAAAAGAGCAAAAAATGAGAACATGTAGCAACAGAAATGCGTCTCCAGTCAGTTCTTCAACTTTTTCGCTCTGTTAAAAAATCGAAGAAAAACTGAAATCGCGTTGTTATTTTAGGTAAAAAAACCCACAGAAGTTAAAAAATCTTTGTAGAATCTTCTAAACGATATTTTGTCTATATCCATAGATTTACAGCAACATTTTTTTAGAAATAAGACATTTTGCAATGCCAAGCATTCATTTCTCAGTTACTGAGATATAGTTGTTCTGGTTAATACCTCAACGAAACTAACTGTCCGTAACCTGTTCTATAACCGTCGCATGTTTACTCCTCACCAATTTACTCATTTTGACTCTTATGAAGCTGTCTATGGCGAAGTTTTATGCGATCCGCGATGGTGAAGATCCTGTTCTTTCTAATTTATCTAGTTTACGACTGTTTGTACACGTTTTCACTCATGCACAACAACTTACATGGATAAAAATCTCGAAAAACCGACGAAACATTTTTCAGTTCTACATTACTTATTTTCTATGTTTGAGACAGAAAAGCTAAAACAAAAAGAAAATAGCTGTAAACTTGATGACTAATGCAGCTATTTTTATTCATTTTATTATGATAAATTAACTGTATATAACTTTACTATGGCATTTTTGCCTTGCCTTCCTTTTAACAAAATGAAAACACACTATTGATAAAACAATAAAATGCATGTCATCATTTAAAAGAATCCTTCTGTTTAGTATAAAATGAATGATCATGTTGCTAACCAAAGTTAAACTTCTAACTGAGATGGTCAACAATCGAGCTGAACAATGGATCCAAGGATAAGTAACCATCTCTGATTATGGTGAGATGCCTAATGTAGCAGCATTAGTAGTTGAAAAAGTGGTGATCGTCCTAACCGCATTCAAAGTTTCCTCTATGTGTCGGTAGCAACTGAAGTGATGGGAAATGAAGATGTACTAGGTCTTGTGTTGTAATGCTTTCAAGAGAAGTTACTACCGTCAACGTACTTGAGCCTGTTGCCGAACTCGTACTAGAACTAGCATTCGATGCTTCACTCCTTTGCAGAAGTTTGGTAAAAATTTGAGCAAGTAAACTAGCCGATAATGTTATTGAAGTAATAAAAATACTGGTCTCTACACTTGTGAACTGCAGTGATGAACATTGAGCGAGAACAAAAAGTATGAATATCTCAGTTGAAATCTATTCAGGTTCCGGTCATATACGATCATGGAGTTATGAAGGAAGCACGAGGTAAAACGTCGGTTCATCAGTAATTTTTTGTAACTCAAAGAACTTTGAAAAACATTTAACCTTGCGTAGTAGAAAATTCTCCAAACTCAAATCACAAAATCTTTGCACAAGAGACAAAACGCTGTTCAATTAGAAACTGCAATGCAAATTTGCGATATTTATTCAAATGACTCATATCAACGTATGAGTCATTTGAATAAACGACAGAACGTACATTATAAGCCGTTCTAAGCTCGGTAGCAAGGTTTCCTTTCAGAAATCCACGACCTAGTGCAAGCTGTCAGATAAGGCAAGCTACTTTTGCTGGCAAACTACTACTTCTTAACTAACTTACTAAAATTGAACGTATCCTAAAAGTGCAAATTTGAATATATCGTGATTGAATTATGATTCTTTTAAATTTAGCTGAAAACATTCAATACTTCTACGAAAGACATTACCACACCTACACACGCTGCTACACAGGTCTTATTTAACCTCATATCAAGTATACTAATCTACACGACATGCTAAGTGAAAAAGAGATTATGCTATCATAAGTCTTGAGGCGATTCAATTCCAGACAATTTGTCAAAATTTGAGAACAGTGCAAGATTGTACAAAAAAGTACCTCTCGCCTTCATCTATAGATCCGCGGGCAATAACCTCTTTTAATTATTATAAACGATAATTTTTTTTAAAAAAAAATATATATATAGATATAAAATTTTATTCTTTTTTTCCATTTTAAAAGTGTTGATTTTTTGTATTTATTCTCTCCATCTGTATTTATACAAACACGCAATAGAAGTGACATGTTTCACCATGGAGCATTTTTGAGCTTCTTCTTCATAATACATAAAAGTTTCGAAGGTTGTCTGCATGAAAATGCAGAATTTCTCATCGAATACTCTGATAAATTTAAAAAGATCACATTGAGCGTAATAGTTTCTACTCCATATTCTGAGGAAAGCCAAGGCACATTTTGAATTTGAAGTATAGCAAAAATTATTTAATGTAAAAAGTTATTTTCACCTATCGGCAAATTACACGTGCAGATATATTATGTTATTTTAAGTCAATGAATTTATACTGATGAATGAATGTCTGCAGCTCATTTTTATTTTCATCTATTGGAAAAAAAATGAATATTATAAAATCATTACGATGTCATACACGTTTTGAAATCAAACCATTGGCTTCTATTAGGAAGTAAAGATGTATCAACTCACCGACGTAATTTTATAGAAGTTCAGGTACAATTACAAATGTCAGAACTAATGAATTCATCATCATCCAACGTAATCACATCAGCACAATCAATACCAAAAGCTGATAATAAAAATAAATATATTGTGAAATACTATATCGTGGTAAGGTACCGGTAGTTAAAAGATCAGCAAAATTATTGTTTTGGCTTTTTTTGTCACGATTGACTAGAACGCATCGACTTACATAGATTGATTTGATGATTTTGATTTTTATTTCGACAACAGCAGTTTTGAATGGAAAAGAGTAAACTTTAGTATTACAATACAAAAATTTAACTAATACATAAACATGTTGTCAGGAAAGCAAAAAAGGTTTTAAACACCTATAAAAATTGCCA